GCGCATTAGGTGAGGATTTCATCTCATTCTCCCCAAAAATCGTATTCATCATTGCTTAATTGGTGAAAAAACATGCCTAATTGAAAAATTAGGGCTCTACCGAAATTGGGAATTTTTTCTAGGGTTCTTGATGTGGGGATTCTACTGTTTGTATAGTGTTCAGACCTCTGCCTTCTAATGTGCTTAGCAAAAAAAAAAAGAAACCAGTACTTAAACATGATTGATTCTTATCCGTGACAGAACCATGAGCACTAAGGGTATCGCATAATTATTTGCAGATGGCAATTGGCATGAACAGCAAACAGTAGCATGAGCATCAGGCTAAAACTTTAAATCTTGATCATAAAAAACCCTAATCCTGACTTGATCTAAACTTGATGTTGATCTACATATCAATAATATAGGGACCTAATGCAATCAGAATTGGCGATTGATACCATTGTTGGATTAATTATGCATCTTTGGGATGTCATTAGCAGGAACAAATTGCATCTAGCTCACCTAAAACATGAACAGAGAAGGGTTTAGGGGATCATTACGTGTCACGGCAGTGGACATGATCGCCTGCTTGGTGCAGGCTTGATGCAGGGGTGATGTAGTCGAGGTGGAAGTCCTCCTCGATGTCCTGATGCCCTCAGGACGCCACCGGCACTGCCCGGGGACGGCAGCGGCGGCTGGAGTAGGTCTTCCCGTCGCTGCAGCGCTCCCCTGATCGGATGGGGTGAGAGAATATCGGGAGGGGAGTGAAACCGTAGGTGAATTGTGATCGCGCAGGCTGGCAACCCTCTCCCGTTCCCTTTTATGTAGCGCTGGCGACAGGGGACCTAAACCATCAGTTGGTTTGGGTGCCCCCGATCAGGGCGCCTTAGTTGGGATAAAACCTCACGTACGTTGGTGCGTGGGTCCTTTTCATTAACGCTATCTTTTCCCTTTTTTTATTAAACTAATAGATCTAACTGGGCTATTTAAGCCGTGAGATCAAAACCAACAAATTCATGAGAAGAACAAACTCATGTGCATTCACCACAAACTTATCAGAAGCATTTCATCATCTTCTCCCCATAGCCGTAGCTGGTTTTTGCGCACGTCGCCCAGCACCTGAGAGTAAACCCCCTTTTTTTTCGACTTCCGATTGGCTTGAGGAGCCTATTAGTGAAATTGTAACGTTTCTCACAAACGATGTATTGGTTATTACTAATGAATAAAATTTCATTTTAATTCAAAAAAAACTGCTCCTTTCCACTTTCCAAGCGCAGGCGATGTTTGTTTTGTAGGCCTCGTTTCTGCAAAACCTTTAGCACTAGGAAACATGTTTTTGAAGACAATATTATTTTAGCTATCCATATTACTTCCAAACTAAAGCAGCAACTATGACAGACAGGCATCAAATTTCCAGCCTCTGCAGTAAATTTTAGAAACCAACTACACAGATCATTCCCTTGAAATATTGGTCGGATTGGATTGGTGTGTGATTGTCAACCAATTAACACTGGATGGCTTGCTTGCTTGCTTGGTTTCTCCAGCTCTAGCTTGGTGTACCTAGTGTTCACGATCGATCAAGCTGGATGCGGGGAGTGGTGCCGGAGAGGCGGCGGTGGGGGTGGAGGTTGCCCGGCGCAAGCTGGAGAGGAACCGTCGCGTCTTGATTGGTAAGTGTTTGGTATGTACCTAGGTAGCTAGGGTATTTGATGCCGTAGATCAATTATCACACAGTCTAGTGTGTATTATCCTCGTCCTCTTGTTAAAAGAAAGAGAGGGTAGATAGGTACCAGACGCCACTAGCGTGATGTCGGCAGGCAGCATCTCTATCCGCCGTTAGTGGTCAGAATTGAAGGAGAAAGATTGTGTGTCAGGCCCCAAGTCGAGTCGACCTGACGCCTCAAACCTCAAGCTAACTACAGCCAAATGATGAGAGTCCAGAAAACAGAGCAAAAGCAGAGGAAGCTAACTACACGCAATATTCAGACTTCAGATAGCAGAGCAGAGCATAGGAAGCAGAGCTACAGGCAAACACAATTGTAGTCTATCAGTTCTGATTGTCCATCTTGTCCACTGCCTTGTGCCTTCACAAATATGAAGTCACTGGAGCATTGAGTTTGCAATGCATGCCCTGCGCTCAAGAGTTTGCAATACATGCGCATCAGTTGGCCGGTTATCGTCTCAAGTAGCAACATGTTACTGATCGCCCGAAATGACAGTTGGAAGTGCAACTAAGATGGCAGCAGCAGCACAGGATTATGTATCCACTCAAACTGTACCGTAAAATCGCATATTACCGTCTAGTACTATTTAACAAAGGCACAAAGCACTCATGACAGTATAGCTTTTATTGCCTCATCAGCCAAACACAAATCAAGCTCAGCTATTGATACAAAACTACACTCAGGATGTCTGCTATATTATTTATTCATTGCATCAAGGTTGGGAACTCAGAAGTATCTTTCTCTTTTAAAAATATTTCATAAGACTACTTTTCCTTCGACTTCTCCGGTGTACACCTTGGAGAGATCACGCAAAATAAGCAGTGGCTCCTATGAGATATCACACTACACTTGACTATACCGTCAATCCAATTTTAAATTTACAAGTTTCATCACCATGCAAAACATACAGCATAAATCTCCCCATAAAAATGTTTTACTCTTTACTTAGTTACTACAACTCTGCTGAGAGCTATGCTAAGAATTTCTGACGGCTTTTGAGAATCTCGTACGCATTTGAACATGGAAGAACTATTACAGAGGACATGCTGTCATTGGTTGGCAGCTCAATCGCCAGACCCAACCGCAGCAGCGTCTCCACAGCTTTGTCCATAGGCATTTGTTCTAAAGATTTTCGATAGGCATTTCAATCTACAAGGAAATCAAACTCTCAATTAGTGGTTTCATGACGACCACAACCAGAGTACACCAGACACAAGTTGTCATATTCATATGAAATTTCTTGTACCTGAACTGCTCTTTACTTTACACATCCCTATCTTTTTGTTACAGAATATGATGAGCATGGCTAGCCAGCTGCTGGAATTTTGTGTGGACGCCTTCTGACTGTACCTACTGTGTCAGCATTCCAAACCTCGTTCAAACAGAGTTTGTATTGCACATCTGTGACAGTGCTGAAGAGGAGGCCACAGCAATGATCACAGCCCAAAAGGTGACAGGAGAACTGAACTGGACACCGATGCACCTCCACAAGCGGCTCCGATGGCTGCTAGCAGTTTACTTGGAAATTCAGAAGTGTTTTTCTCATCCTTTTTAGGAATTTAAAAGAGTATTTTTCCTTCAACTTCTCCGGTGCCCACCAAAATCAGCAGAAACTCCTATCAGCCATCACATTTTACTATACCATCGTTCTGCTGTAGGAATGAAACTCAATTTGCAACCAGTTTTCATCACCCTGCAGAATGTGAATCCTAACTGTTAGGCAAGCCAGGAGTTACAGGATGATCCTCCTTAACAGCATCCCTTTACTTGGTTACTAGAACTCTCCCCAGACAAGCCCTTCCACTTTCAGGAGCATTCTGCATCACAGAACCTTTACTCTTTACTTGGTTCCTACAACTCTGCTGGCGAGATATGCTCATAGTCCAAAAGAAGTTGTAAATCGAGCTGCACTGGGATGGGAGCTATGGACAGTTGGCTGTCAGACTGTTTCTGGTGCATAAGTCTCGTACATAAACTGCCCGCATGTATCTCTGATGAAAGTGAACATGGCATACCTGAGTTCTTTTGCCTATTAGATCTCTGAGCTGGGTATGGCAACCAGTTCGCATCGGCAAACTGGATTACATCTATAACTGCACACTTGAAGAAAAAAATAACCATAATGGAAATGAAACTCAAAAGGAAAAAAGGAAAGGCAGCCAGAGGGCCGGAGAAGGAAGCAACATACACATTTCATTCCACTTCCATAGAAGTAGTGCCTGGAAAGGAGGGAACTGAAACCTGCGGCATGCATGCATGCTCTGGTTCTGCAAAGAAAGGAGGCAATTGCTAGATGAAATATGTAGCTTGCAGCTAACCTCTCATAAAGCCTTTTGGAGGGAGAAATGATCATAAAGTTAATTTTCTGGATAACGATACAAGGTTTTTTCCCCTGAGAGTACTGCACATACCAAAAATTTGCCCGGTTGAGATGCTCTCTCCAAGATATGAACAAATTTTGTGTGGCAGAGAAAACCTACAAAGAAAATATGCCCATACTCATTCCTTGGGGAATGATTCATTTATAAATAAGCCCTTGAGATTTTCCAAAGTAGACAAACTTGAAGAACTTTATATACCAAACTAGAATGTTACATACCTGATTAAGAAAATAAAGAGCAAAGGCTACAAAAAAGGGTCACACCATTTCATAATAAGTAGAGTTTGGCCCCTCCTACTTTTCCGGGCTTGGGACTGGCTATGCAACATGAAGCATAACATCATGTTAACATAGGCGGAGTTACACCCCCGCCCCCCTCTATAAACATCGAACCCCCCAAAACCAAAGAACAAGACACACATGCACATACACACAAAGCAAATGGTTGCAAGACTCCAAGACCTTTTTTTTGCTTTTCTTTTCATGAATAAACAAGTAAGCAAAACACCACGCAAGCCACAAAGTGAACAGACTTTGTTTTATGGTTTTCTTTTTCCCTTTGCTGTAAAGAAAATAGACATTTTTTTGTTGTTTTCCTTTTTTTTCCTTCCTACAGAAGACAACATATATATTATATGTGTCTTTTGGGGCAAAAACTAGGATTTTTTCAAATAGATAGCCAAGCGACATAGTTGAGGATGAAACATCCCTTCGTGTATTTGAAACCTTTTTTTTGTAGAACTTTTTTTTCTCGATAGTGAATAAGGCAACATGGCACTAAAATACTACAACTAAAAAAGGAAACTTTTTTTTGGTTTTTTCGGTGAGCCAATGACTAGCTATGTGATATTCCAGCTGCTAACATTTGCTGCACAAGTCGCTTGCGGCCTTTTTTTTTTCTTCTTTGCGATGATTTGCTAACACTGCCAACCTACATATATGAAGGAATAATGGTCACAGAATGTATATATCTAGAGAGAGAGAGAGAGAGAGAGAGAGAGAGAGAGAGAGAAGATATTACACATTAGTTCAGCCTGAGACAGAAATAACCATGTGCCTCCCATGGAGAAGAGGTACTTACCCCAAGGTATCTTGCTTAGTACGTCTTCAGTTCAAATGTGAAACCGCTGGGGCCAGAAAAGATTGCCTCCCTCACCACATCCTTAGCCTCCTCTGAATCGAATTCATTAAAGTTGTACCATACTAGAATTACAACTCTCTGAAGCATAGGGAGATTCACCAAGCTACCAAAGTCAGGTTTAGTGTTGAGGTCCATAATTGAGACAACGAACTCGAGATATTCAAGGTTTGGCATTACTCCAAGGAAACGGGGCGTTCCATCCGTCTTGAAAGCTCTCAACTTGGGGAATGCACCTGGAGCTCCCGTGACATCATAGTGATAAGTATTCACGTCCAGCTGGAGAGTAACAAGCTCTGGGAACCTTCCAAAGATCTCCACATCTAGAGCATTCACTTGTAATGATAAGTGGGAGAGGTTTGGTTGAAGAGATGGACTAATCTTTATAGGCAGCCCAGGTTGTTTGTACTGCATATGCAGAACACGGAGTTGGCGAGGGGGGGCATAGCCTTCTCGGCAGTAGGTGGCATCACCTTCTTCTTTATATATAAACCAACCAATGTCTATGACCTGAATTTTCTGCAGTTTGTCTAGAGACTCCTCCCAATCTTTTATCAAGCTCGCACTCTTCAACCGTAAAGATACAATGCAAAGCTTCCTCAACTCTGTCAGCTTTCCGAGATCATTCACAAAGTTTGAGGACTCACTGACGTTCAATAAGCATAACTCTTCCAGAGATGTCAGGTTTCTGATCCAGTCTAGTGCTGTGTCTTCCAGACATTGCAGCATCGAAAACCGGTCCGCGTAAACACGCAGGCACTTGAGTTGACTTAATTGACCAATACTCTGTGGCAGTTTCAGTAGTTTGTTGCAATCCTTCATCTCCAACATCTGTAAGAATTTTAGATCTCCTATTTCCTTTGGGAGCTCACTGATATTTATATTCCTTAGTCCAAGATACCTCAAGTGAACTAACTTTCCAAGATGCTCAAGGCAAGTAGTGTCATGTTCAGAAGAGGTATCACCTTCTAGAGCTAGGACACGTAAAACTTGAAAGCATGAAAGTGATGGCAGCTTAACATCGCTACTCAAGACATTAAATGACCTTACTTGTGGCATACATGTGTTAGCCAGACAGTTTTTGTCTCCAACAGCTAACCTACGGACATTGTGATGTACTGTATATGCTTGTTGCTCATTATTGTACAATGCAGTGACAAAGTTTTCTTGCTTTGCTAACCGACAGATCATGTCAAGAACCATATCATGAATACGGCAACCCGTAATGATGTCGTAGTAACCTGTAATGGTGCGATCATACGGGTGGGAATCTACCGGTTGTATCATGCTTTTATTTATCAGCTCGTTGAAATATCTTTCACCAATCTCATATAATCCTACCCCTGCTTCCTCATGAATAAAACCCTCGGCAACCCACTTCCATATCAGACTATCTTTCTCGATTAGATGTTCTTCTGGATATATGCTCATATACAATAAGCAAGTCCTTAGATAGCAAGGCAGATCATAGTAGCTAAATAAAAGTATCTTCCTCGTGTTGTTGACATCTTTGTTATCTTCATTTCCAAAACCAATTGAGTTGTACACCTTAGACCAAAACTCCACTGGTCTACCAACAAGCAAGCTAGCCATTGTGATTATAGCCAACGGTGCACCACCACATTTATGCAACATTTTCTCGTATACCTCTGCTGGCTGATGACAAGCGCCTTTGTTTTTGCCACCAAACAATCTTGTATGAAATAGTTCCTCAGCTAAATCATGAGAAAGTGGTTTTAGCTTGTATACTTCACCGGTTTTTGTCGCAACCTCGAGAATACGAGTAGTTGTGACTATCCTGCTTGCACAATTATTATCAACAAGAGCACATCTGATTATTTCCCACGCTTCTATATCCCATATATCATCAATCACGATGAAGTACCTGCCCGCATACCAAATGCAACAACTGTAATTAATTAGTGAAACTATTTGGCAAGGCGCCTAAGTAAGCATCTAAAATATCCAGGGAAAAAAGGGGATGCATTTGCATGACAACCACCTAATGTAAAATAGGCATTATTCAATAAAGAAATAGTGAAATGATAGTTGCAGGGGAGAAATCATGTGGCCGTCCCCTTGTTCTGTTTAATTAAATTTCTCGTTTTAAAACTGGATTGGAGTAATAGGGTGCATACCTCTTGGTCGCTAGTGATCTTCGGAGTTGGTCGATGAGCTGCCTTTCGTCCCATGACGATAAAATAGAATCCTGATGCTTTTGCTTGTCAATTTCAAAGAGAATGTCGTTGAGAAGTTTCTTCACGCTAGGTTTCAGTCCCACCTGAACAAAAGCGCTGCAATCGAATTGTCATTGGAGCTTATCATACACTGCTTTAGCAAGACTAGTCTTGCCAAGACCTCCGAATCCAACAATAGAAACTATCTTAAGTTGCCTGGACTCATCAGTATCCCCCTCAGTCAGCATCTCAGTTAGGTTGCTCAACGGCTCGTCGATGCCAACCAGTTCTTTCCGATCTTTATACAGAGACATCAGGCGAGGGTCATGTTGGGGAACATAGCAGAAATTCAAAATTTTCCTACGCGTCACCAAGATCTATCTATGGAGAAACCAGCTACGAGTAGAAGGAGAGTGCATCTACATACCCTTGTAGATCGCTAAGCGGAAGCGTTCAAGTGAACGGGGTTGATGGAGTCGTACTCGTCGTGATTCAAATCACCGATGATCCTAGTGCCGAACGGACGGCACCTCCGCGTTCAACACACGTACAGCCCGGTGACGTCTCCCACGCCTTGATCCAGCAAGGAGAGAGGGAGAGGTTGAGGAAGACTCCATCCAGCAGCAGCACAACGGCGTGGTGGTGGTGGAGGAGCGTGGCAATCCTGCAGGGCTTCGCCAAGCACCACGGGAGAAGAGGAGTACTTGGGAGAGGGGGAGGGCTGCGCCAGAACTTCGTGTATAGCTCCCATGCGCCTCCCCACTATATATAGGGGTGGAGGGGCTGGTTTCTTGCCCTCCAAGTCCATTGGGGCGTTGGCCAAGGTGGGAGGAAAGAAATCTCATTATTTCCTTCCCCACCGATTGTTATCCCCCCTTTTTAGGGATCTTGATCTTATCCCTTCGGGATATGATCTTATTCCTTCTAAGGGGGGATCTTGGTGCGCCTTGACCAGGGGTGTGGGGCCTTGCCCCCACTACCCACGTTCATGTGGGTCCCCCCATGCAGGTGGGCCCCACTCCGGAACCTTCTAGAACCTTCCCGGTACAATACTGAAAAATCCCGAACATTTTCCGGTGGCCAAAATAGGACTTCCCATATATAAATCTTTACCTCCGGACCATTCCGGAACTCCTCGTGACGTCCGGGATCTCATCCGGGACTCCGAACAACATTCGGTAACCACATACAAACTTCCTTTATAACCCTAGCGTCATCGAACCTTAAGTGTGTAGACCCTACGGGTTCGGGAGACATGTAGACATGACCGAGACGTTCTCCGGTCAATAACCAACAGCGGGATCTGGATACCCATGATGGCTCCCACATGTTTCACGATGATCTCATCGGATGAACCACGATGTCAAGGACTTTATCAATCCCGTATTCAATTCCCTTTGTCTATCGGTATGTTACTTGCCCGAGATTCGATCGTCGGTATCCAATACCTTGTTCAATCTCGTTACCGGCAAGTCACTTTACACGTTCCGTAACACATCATCCCGTGATCAACTCCTTGGTCACATTGCGCATATGATGATGTCCTACCGAGTGGGCCCAGAGATACCTCTCCGTTTACACGGAGTGACAAATCCCAGTCTCGATCCGCATAAAACAATAGATACTTTCGGAGATACCTGTAGTGCACCTTTATAGTCACCCAGTTACGTTGTGACGTTTGATACACCCAAAGCACTCCTACGGTATCCAGGAGTTACACGCTCTCATGGTCGAAGGAAGAGATACTTGACATTGGCAAAGCTCTAGCAAATGAACTACACGATCTTTTGTGCTAGTCTTAGGATTGGGTCTTGTCCATCACATGATTCTCCTAATGATGTGATCCCGTTATCAACGACATCCAATGTCCATGGTTAGGAAACCGTAACCATCTATTGATCAACGAGCTAGTCAACTAGAGGCTTACTAGGGACATGGTGTTGTCTATGTATCCACACATGTATCTGAGTTTCCTATCAATACAATTATAGCATGGATAATAAACGATTATCATGAACAAGGAAATATAATAATAATCAATTTATTATTGCCTCTAGGGCATATTTCCAACAGTCTCCCACTTGCACTAGAGTCAATAATCTAGTTCACATCGCCATGTGATTAACACTCACAGGTCACATCGCCATGTGACTAATACCCAAGAGTTTACTAGAGTCAGTAGTCTAGTTCACATCACTATGTGATTAACACTCAATGAGTTTTATGTTTGATCATGTTGCTTGTGAGAGAGGTTTTAGTCAACGGGTCTGAACCTTTCAGATCCGTGTGTGCTTTACAAATCTCTATGTCATCTCCTAGATGCAGCTACCACGCTCTATTTGGAGCTATTCCAAATAACTGTTCTACTTGGAGCTATTCTAAATTGTTGCTCCATTATATGTATCCGGTCTCTCTACTCAGAGCTATCCGGATAGGTGTTTAGCTTGTATCGACGTAACCCTTTACGACGAACTCTTTTACCACCTCCATAACCGAGAAAATTCCTTAGTCCACTAGTTACCAAGGATAACTTTGACCGCTGTCTGTGATCCATTCATGGATCACTCTTGTACCCCTTGACTGACTCATGGCAAGGCACACTTCAGGTGCGGTACTCAGCATGGCATACTGTAGAGCCTATGTCTTAAGCATAGGGGACGACCTTCGTCCTTTCTCTCTATTCTGCCGAGGTCGAGCTTTAAGTCGTACCTTACAACTCAGGCAAGAACTCCTTCTTTGACTGGTCCATCTTGAACACCTTCAAGATCATGTCAAGGTATGTGCTCATTTGAAAGTATTATTAAGCATTTTGATCTATCCTTATAGATCTTGATGCTCAATGTTCAAGTAGCTTAATCCAGGTTTTCTATTGAAAAACACCTTCAAAATAACCCTATATGCTTTCCAGAAATTCTACGTCATTTCTGATCAACAATATGTCAACAACATATACTCATCAGAAATTCTATAGTGCTCCCACTCACTTCTTTGGATATACAAGTTTCTCATAAACTTTGTACAAACCCAAAATCTTTGATCATCATCAAAGCATACATTCCAACTCCGAGATGCTCACTCCAGTCCTTAAAAGGATTGCTGGAGCTTTGCATACTTATTAGCATCTTTCGGGATTGACAAAACCTTCCGGTTGTATCACATACAACCTTTCCTCATTAAAATCGTCGAGGAAACAACGTTTTGACATCCTATCTGCAAGATTTCATAAATAATGCAGTAATCGCTAATATAACTCCAACAGACTCTTAGCATCGCTACGAGTGAGAAAATCTCATCGTAGTCAACTCCTTGAACTTGTCGGAAAACATCTTAACGACAAGTCGAGCTTTCTTAATGGTGACATTTACCATCATTGTCCGTCTTCCTTTTGAAATCCATCTGTACTCATTAGCCTTACGACCATCGAGCTGTTCTGCCAAAGTCTACACTTTGTTTTCATACATGGATCCTCTCTCGGATTTTATGGCCTCAAGCCATTTATCGGAATCCGGGCCCACCATCGCTTCTCCATAGCTCGTAGGCTCATTGTTGTCTAGCAACATGACTTCCAAGATAGGATTACGTACCACTCTGTAGTAGTGCGCATCCTTGTCATCCTACGAGGTTTGGGAGTGACTTGATCTGAAGTTTCATGATCACTATCATAAGCTTCCACCTCAATTGGTGTAGGTGCCACGGGAACAACTTCCTGTGCCCTGCTACACACTGGTTGAAGTGATGGTTCAATAACCTCATCAAGTCTCCACCATCCTCCCACTCAACTCTTTTGAGAGAAACTTTTCCTCGAGAAAGGACCCGATTCAAGAAACAATTCACATTGCTTTTGGATCTGAATTAGGAGGTATACCCAACTGTTTTGGGTGTCCTATGAAGATGCATTTTATCCGCTTTGGGTTCAAGCTTATCAATCCTGAAACTTTTCCACATAATCGTCGCAGCCCCAAACCTTTAAGAAACGACAACTTAGGTTTCTCCAAACCATAATTCATACGGTGTCATCTCATCGGAATTACGTGGTGCCCTATTTAAAGTGAATGTGGTTGTCTCTAATGCCTAACCCATGAACGATAGTGGTAATTCAATAAGAGACATCATGGTATGCATCATATCCAATAGGGTGCAGTTATGATGTTCGGACACACCATCACACTATGGTGTTCCAGGCGGTATTAATTGTGAAACAATTTCCACAATGTCTTAATTGTGTGCCAAAACTCGTAACTCAGATACTCATCTCTATGATCTTATCATAGACATTTTATCCTCTTGCCATGATGATCTTCAACTTTACTCTGAAATTACTTGAACCATTCAATAATTCAGACTTGTGTTTCATCAAGTAAATATATTCAACATCTACTCGAATCATCTGTGAAGTAAGAACATAATGATATTCACTGCATGCCTCAGCACTCATTGGACTACACACATCAAAATGTGTTACTTCCAACAAGTTGCTATCTTGTTCCATCTTACTGAAACCGAGGCTTTTCAGTCATCTTGCCCATGTGGTATGATTTGCATATCTCAAGTGATTCAAAATCAAGTGAGTTCAAACGGTCCATTTGCATGGAGTTTCTTCATGCATATATACCAATAGACATGGTTCGCATGTCTCAAACTTTTCAAAAATGAGTGAGTCCAAAGATCCATCAACATGGAGCTTCTTCATGCATTTTATACCGATATGACTTACGTGGCAGTGCCACACATAGGTGGTACTATCATTACTATCTTTTGGCATGAACATGTGTATCACTACGATCGAGATTTCAATGAACCATTCATTTTAGGTGCAAGACCATTGAAGGTATTATTCAAATAAATAGAGTAACCATTATTCTCTTTAAATGAATAACCGTATTGCGATAGACATAATCCAATCATGTCTATGCTCAACGCAAACACCAAATCTCGATGGTAGAGGGAGCGTGCGATGCTTGATCATATCAACATTGGAAACACTTCCAACACATATCGTCAGCTCACCTTTAGCTAGTCTCCGTTTATGCCGTAGCTTTTATTTCGAGTTACTAACACTTAGCAACCGAACCGGTATCTTATACCCTGGTGCTACTAGGAGTACTAGTAAAGTACACATTAACATAATGTATATCCAATATACTTCTATCGACCTTGCCAGCCTTCTCATCTACCAAGTATCTAGGGTAATTCTGCTCTAGTGACTGTTCCCCTTATTACAGAGGCACTTAGTCTCGGGTTTGGGTTCAACCTTGGGTTTCTTCACTGGAGCAGCAGCTGATTTGCCGTTTCATGAAGTATCCCTTCTTGCCCTTGCCCTTCTTGAAACTAGTGGTTTCACCAACCATCAACAATTGATGCTCCTTCTTGATTTCTACTTTCGCGATGTCAAACATCGTGAATACCTCAAGGATCATCTTATTTATCCCTGATATGTTATAGTTCATTACGAAGCTCTAGCAGCTCGGTGGCAACGACTTTGGAGAAACATCACTATCTCATCTGGAAGATCAACTCCCACTCGATTTAAGTGATTGTTGCACTCAGACAATCTGAGCACAAGCTCAACGATTGAGCTTCTCTCCCTTAGTTTGCAGGCTAAGAAAATCGTCGGAGGTCTTATACCTCTTGACGTGGGCACGAGCCTGAAATCCTAATTTCAGCCCTCAAAACATCTCATATGTTTCGCGACGTTTCAAAAAAACGTCTTTGGTGCCTCTACTCAAACCATTTATCTGAACTATCACGTAGTTATCAAAACGTGTATGTCCGATGTTCGCAACATCCACAGACGACGTTTGGGGTTCAGCACATTGAGTGGTGCATTAAGGACATAAGCTTTCTACTGTCCGCATAATCGCTACTGTCAACTTTCAACTATATTTTCTCTAGGAACATATCTAAAACAGTAGAACTAAAGCGCGAGCTACGACATAATTTGCAAAAGGTCTTTTGACTATGTTCAAGATAATTAAGTTCATCTTATGAACTCCCACTCAGATAGACATCCCTTTAGTCATCTAAGTGATTACATGATCCGAGTCAACTAGCCCGTGTCCGATCATCACGTGAGACGGACTAGTTAACGTCGGTGAACATCTTCATGTTGATCGTATCTACTATACGACTCATGCTCGACCTTTCGGTCTCCGTGTTCCGAGGCCATGTCTGCACATGCTAGGCTCGTCAAGTTAACCCTAAGTGTTTTCGCTGTGTAAAACTGTCTTACACCCGTTGTATGTGAACGTAAGAATCCATCACACCCGATCATCACGTGGTGCTTAGAAGCGACGAACTGTAGCAACGGTGCACAGTTAGGGGAGAACACTTCTTGAAATTTTGTAAGGGATCATCTTATTTACTACCGTCATCCTAAGTAAACAAGATGCATAAACATGATAAACATCACATGCAATCAAATAGAGTAGTGACATGATATGGCCAATATCATATAGCTCCTTTGATCTTCATCTTCGGGGCTCCATGATCATCTTGTCACCGGCATGACACCATGATCTCCATCATCATGATCTCCATCATCGTGTCTTCATGAAGTTGTCATGCCAACGACTACTTCTACTTCTACGACTAACACGTTTAGCAATAAATTAAAGTAGTTTACATGGCGTTCTTCAATGACACGCAGGTCATACAATAAATAAAGACAACTCCTATGGCTCCTGCTGGTTGTCATACTCATCGACATGCAAGTCGTGAATCCTATTACAAGAACATGATCAATCTCATACATCACATATATCATTCATCACATCCTTTTTGCCATATCACATCACATAGCATACCCTGCAAAAACAAGTTAGACGTCCTCTAATTGTTGTTTGCATGTTTTACGTGGCTGCTATGGGTTTCTAGCAAGAACGTTTCTTACCTACGCAAAACCACAACGTGATATGCCAATTGCTATTTACCCTTCATAAGGACCCTTTTCATCGAATCCGTTCCGACTAAAGTGGGAGAGACTGGCACCCGCTAGCCACCTTATGCACCAAGTGCATGTCAATCGGTGGAACCTGTCTCACGTAAGAGTACGTGTAAGGTCGGTCCGGGCCGCTTCATCCCACAATACCGTCGAAACAAGATTGGACTAGTAACAGTAAGCATATTGAACAACATCAAAGCCCACAACTACTTTGTGTTCTACTCGTGCAAAGAATCTACGCAATAGACCTAGCTCTAATACCACTGTTGGGGAACGTAGCAGAAATTCAAAATTTTCCTACGCGTCACCAAGATCTATCTATGGAGAAACCAGCTACGAGTAGAAGGAGAGTGCATCTACATACCCTTGTAGATCGCTAAGCGGAAGCGTTCAAGTGAACGGGGTTGATGGAGTCGTACTCGTCGTGATTCAAATCACCGATGATCCTAGTGCCGAACGGACGGCACCTCCGCGTTCAACACACGTACAGCCCGGTGACGTCTCCCACGCCTTGATCCAGCAAGGAGAGAGGGAGAGGTTGAGGAAGACTCCATCCAGCAGCAGCACAACGGCGTGGTGGTGGTGGAGGAGCGTGGCAATCCTGCAGGGCTTCGCCAAGCACCACGGGAGAAGAGGAGTACTTGGGAGAGGGGGAGGGCTGCGCCAGAACTTCGTGTATAGCTCCCATGCGCCTCCCCACTATATATAGGGGTGGAGGGGCTGGTTTCTTGCCCTCCAAGTCCATTGGGGCGTTGGCCAAGGTGGGAGGAAAGAAATCTCATTATTTCCTTCCCCACCGATTGTTATCCCCCCTTTTTAGGGATCTTGATCTTATCCCTTCGGGATATGATCTTATTCCTTCTAAGGGGGGATCTTGGTGCGCCTTGACCAGGGGTGTGGGGCCTTGCCCCCACTACCCACGTTCATGTGGGTCCCCCCATGCAGGTGGGCCCCACTCCGGAACCTTCTAGAACCTTCCTGGTACAATACCGAAAAATCCCGAACATTTTCCGGTGGCCAAAATAGGACTTCCCATATATAAATCTTTACCTCCGGACCATTCCGGAACTCCTCGTGACGTCCGGGATCTCATCCGGGACTCCGAACAACATTCGGTAACCACATACAAACTTCCTTTATAACCCTAGCGTCATCGAACCTTAAGTGTGTAGACCCTACGGGTTCGGGAGACATGTAGACATGACCGAGACGTTCTCCGGTCAATAACCAACAGCGGGATCTGGATACCCATGATGGCTCCCACATGTTCCACGATGATCTCATCGGATGAACCACGATGTCAAGGACTTAATCAATCCCGTATTCAATTCCCTTTGTCTATCAGTATGTTACTTGCCCGAGATTCGATCGTCGGTATCCAATACCTTGTTCAATCTCGTTACCGGCAAGTCACTTTACTTGTTTCGTAACACATCATCCCGTGATCAACTCCTTGGTCACATTGCGCATATGATGATGTCCTACCGAGTGGGCCCAGAGATACCTCTCCGTTTACACGGAGTGACAAATCCCAGTCTCGATCCGCATAAAACAATAGATACTTTCGGAGATACCTGTAGTGCACCTTTATAGTCACCCAGTTACGTTGTGACGTTTGATACACCCAAAGCACTCCTACGGTATCCAGGAGTTACACGCTCTCATGGTCAAAGGAAGAGATACTTGACATTGGCAAAGCTCTAGCAAACGAACTACACGATCTTTGTGCTATGCTCAGGATTGGGTCTTGTCCATCACATCATTCTCCTAATGATGTGATCCCGTTATCAACGACATCCAATGTCCATAGCCAGGAAACCATGACTATCTGTTGATCACAACGAGCTAGTCAACTAGAGGCTCACTAGGGACATATTGTGGTCTATGTATTCACACGTGTATTACGATTTCCGGATAATACAGTTATAGCATGAATAAAAGACAATTATCATGAACAAGGAAATATAATAATAACACTTTTATTATTGCCTCTAGGGCATATTTCCAACAGGTCAACCGTTGCTGAGCCTGCTGGACTAGCAACCACATCATCGACCTTGTACCTATCACGCCGGTCAGCTGCCTCCTGGACTCGGGCCTTGATGCCCTTGACCTCGTCAGCGATCTGGTGGCGAGTCCTGCCCTTGGTGAACAGGTCGGCCATCTTCTCCATGAGCCGTTTGAGCTTGCGTGGTTTGTCGGCGGCAGCGGAAGAAGCCTTGGGGCCCTCGACGCGCACCAGGAACTTGTCGACGGCGTCCTCCATTCTGTATGAGAGGTCCCTGACGTCGTCGGCCCAGAGCTTGACCTGCACGTCGAGCTCGTCCCGCGGCACGTCCCCGACCTTGCGGAGGGCGGCGTACATACTGGTCAGCTCTCTCTTGAGGTACTGGACGTCTTCCTTGACTCCGGCCTGCAGCTTGTACTCATCCGTAAGGAGGTCGCCGAGCTTGAGGAGGAGGCTGCCCATGGCCCCCGTGGCCAGATCCATGGTTCGCGGGGCCAGCGGCGCCGGGGTCGGGGTGGCCGGCGGCACTGAGGTCGGAGCGGTAGAGCCGGCACTAGGAGGCCGCGAGCTGCCGCTGCTATGGTCGGGGCGAGGTGGAGGGTGAGGGCGAGGGGGCGTTTGGAGGTCAGGGGAGGACGGCGAGGGGATGCTATGGCCGGCGGCGCTTGCGGCGGCGGTGGGATTTAGGGATCTGGGGGAGGGGAGAGTGGTGGATCTGGCTGCGGCTGAATAAAAGAAGACCAGTGTCGTGAGAAATGATACTACCTCTGGGCTGGCTCACTTTTTTTTATTCTAAGACCAGCAAATGGCATTTTAACTCTTCAATACAGGTAGGCACCACAAGGCTGATGACTCCACCTCACCTACTCAGCCTACTTCCAATGCATTGATACTTAACTTGTTGGTGCTAAGCATCCTTCATTTAATGGTTTTGTAACTAAAGTTCTTCATGCATTGGTGAGATTCTTTCATTTAAGTCTTTTGACTAGGTTCTCGCGCTTAGCATTGTTTCTTCCTGGTCACCACACTCACCTCTCTCCTCTTAATTACCTTGCCACATTAGACTTTTTGCCTACATGGCGGCCTTAGCACCTGTACAAGGTGGAGCATTGGGAGGGGCCTCACGTTCATTCTATCCGGATTTCATTTGTTTGCATCGGTAAAACAGACATGATGCGGGTCCATTTGCATCATCTGCCAGATGAGCAGCTGCCGCATCTCAAAACTTTATTCACATTTCAACTTAAATTTAAAAAAAACATTGCAAATAATTTAAACCTATATATAACTTAAACGTCCCCAAAGTCACGGTCAAACGTTGAAAACAAACTTGAAATTAAAAACAAAAGGACTGTGCTAACCACCAGTCGACTGGTGGTTAGCAACAGATCCGCACGACCTTCGATCGATCCTTCCGCTCGTCCCGCTGCATCGTTCCTCCCGCTTCCACTGATTTTTTTTCCTTCTCTCAAAAACCGTAGTAAATTGCTAGTGGTTTTTTCTGGTTTTTCGCTGCATAATTTGAAAAGGAAATAAAGGTGCTTGAAAGAGGATTCGAACCCAGGTCTATGTAATACCTATCGAGCCTAATAACCAACTAAGCCACCTTTTGTTGTTGTCTTGTAGAATGACAATGTTATTTGAACCTTTCTTATTTCTGCCATATCAAAAGAAAAAATAAAGTTTGGCTTGGTAACTTTGGCAATGACCAGCGTGATAACTATGGTCTGAGTAACATGATAACTATACCATGATAAGGCTGGTAACTGCAGTACGAGAAGGTTAAAAGCATGGGAAAGTATGGTAATTTAACAAGGAAATTACCAGTGAAATGTTTCAAAAACTTTTTTCCCTTGGATGAAAGACACCATGGTGTTTAAACGTAAAATATTAGTTATCAAGTCTGCGATGATACATCATCATGTTATTTACACAGAAATTATCGGGTGTATGGTTTTCAACAAAAAAGTTTCAGGTCAAAAGTTACAGTGGCGTTTGTATGGGAGTTATCAATTTTGTATGTTTCTATTACCATGTTATTTACACAAAAATTAGCGGGGCATCACCCCCCCTCGCCACAGTCGCCATATTACCAGGATCGGGTACATAAGTTATCAAGTCTGCGATGTGTGAGTTATCATGTTACTTGCATAAGAGTTATCGTGGTATGGTTCAACAACTCCTCCCACCCCTACCCCCACCGGCAAAGTTACCAGGACTGGGTACATAATTTATCATGTCTACGATGTGTGATTTATCATGTTATTTTGCATGGAAGTTACCGTGGTATGTTTCAACGACTCCCCCCACCCCTACCCCCACCGACAAAGTTACCAGGACTCGGTACATAATTTATCATGTTTATGATGTATGGGTTATCATGTTATTTGCATAAAAGTTATCAGGACAGTGATGCGTTAACTATCATCATATTTACACAGAAGTTATCAAGAGTATATTTCATCAAAACCCCTCCCTCCGGCGGAAGGAAAAGTTATCATGTTTGTGGTGCGTAAATTATTGGGGGTATATTTCAGCACCCCTTCTCGCCAAAGTTACCAGGACCGGGGTGCATAAGTTATCGGGTCTCTGATGTCTGAGTTACCATGTTGTTCACATCAGAGTAACTGGGGATGTTTCATCACCACCACTCCCTCAAAGTTACCAGGATCGAGGTACATAAGTTTATGAGGTATGTGATGTGTGACTTATCATGATATTCACACAAAAATAACCCGGGATATTTCATCAACGCCTCCCTCCCGATCGCCAAAGTAATCAGTACCGAGTACATAAGTTATCAGGTATGTGATGTGTGAGTTACCATGCTATACACACACAAAAATTACCAACGGTATATTTCATCAACCTCCCCCACCAAAATTACCATGGTATCATCAACTCAAGACGAGTTGGTAAAATAATCTACTTAAATGCGGAAAAGATCGGATATTGCATTCACTTTTGTGCAAACATAGAAAAGGAGACATGTTAAAAAGCCTATTTGCTTTCATTTTTACAAAAGAGGAACGTAGGTGAGGTGGTTGGCTAGTGGGTTACCTTGTAAAAGTTACAAGGATCGAATCCTGCTGGCACACTATTTTTTGACGAGAAAAATTCATGTCCCTCGTCACAATTCTTTGATTTTGGAGTTTGACTCTAGCTCCCAGCAAAAAAATTCTGGAATTAGCACAACTTTTATTTTGATACTATAAGGTATAAAAGGTTAAGTTCTTATATTTTTCAGTTTGAACAACTAAGATGATGTAGCTTGTTGGTTGAAGGGAGCATGCGGAGCCTGTGCGTCCTGGGTTGGATTCCCGTCGGGTGCTTTATTTTTTTCCTCGAAAAATAAAGTAGCTAGCGATCTATCGGGAGGTCGAACATGGATCGTGCGTCGAGCGAGTCGTGCGTGCCTGTCGCTAATGACCAGTCGGCAGGTATTTAGCTTTGTCGAAAACAAAAACCTAGATCGAGTTGTCCATCCCCACCATGTTGCCCGTCTTTAGTCGCCGTTGTCCTACTTGTCGTTGTCTTTCCATGGCGCAGTCGATGTACGACAGTGGTAGACAAAGGTGGGCGAGAGCCCCTGCAGCGGCTGCTAAGGGATGAGCGGGCGGCTCCTGCAGCACTGGTGGCCGTTGCGGTGAGGGTGACCATTGCTCGACACCCAAACACGACGCCATGTCTGGCGCCGTGGACGTCCACGTACATCACTTTCACACCAAGACGGGTTCCAGGCCGCGATGGGAGGCTCTTCCAACACCTTTTCCTTAACCTCTAGCCTGGGCGTGGCGACGTTGCTGGCGGACGACAAGGTCAACATCTCATCGAGGCCCTACTGCTCGGCGCGGTTGTGCTCCTTCACGGAGTTCTTCATCACCCTCCTCACAAGCTCCTCCTCCTCCTCTACGGTCATGGTGGGAGGTGATGGTGGTGGGAACGAGAACGGGGAGGGAGTTGGTGTTAGACCGTGCACCCGCGCACGGCCACATGACCGGGGCGAGCTAGGACCACATGTGCGACTAGCAGAGCACACCCATGGCGGGCTCGAAGCACGAATGACAAAAAAGGTTTGCCGACGTAGATCGTGCTCGTCATGGAACCATGTGTCCCAAAGAGGGGAGTCCTCGGTGTACCTGGAGTTGTTGAGGAGGTCCGAAAGAAGGCGGGCGCGATGGCGGTTGATCTCGAGCAGGCGGGTGCGGCCGCTCGCCGGGGCAGGAGGCACGGCACCTGATCTCTCTGTTACAAAAGGCAGTGCCTAGGAGGCGCTTAGGCATGCCTAGGCGCTAGGAGATGGCCAAACGCCTCACCTAGGGCATAAATGGTAGTCTAGGCAGTGCATGCAAAAAAATGTTTACCCAAGCAAGGAATCATGCCATATTGCACTGAACTGCCAAACATCACATATTCAAATGGCAGCAGCTGGTAGTTAACATATTTATCTGCCCTAAATTAACATCAGTACACATATAATAACCACAAATACACCTTGATAGTAGAATCTATATTACCGCCTAGGCTACGCCTAGAGCGCTTAAGCACCGCCTAGGTACTAGGCGAAGGCCAACCGCCTCGCTTACGCCTACCGCTTTTTCCAACCTTTCCTGATCTAGGCTTAGGTGCCAGCCGTTTGGGAGATGCGCATCGCCCCACGGCAGCGGCATTGCCATGCCCCGGTACCGCTGGCAGATCTGTGAAAGGCCACCAAGTGTATCACATTCGTTGTAAGGGGTAGGAAGTGAAGGTATTTCAAGGTGACAGTAAAAGCCTTTACTCCAAATCTTTGCAATTTATAGGGATTAATGGGGAACCCTTAGAGCGGCCGCTTCCATAGTGGAACCCCTAATTACCTTAGTCACAACCTGTCGGGGGAGACTAGAGTAGTGGCGTGCATAGCACGAAGTCTACCTAGAGTAGAATGTGTTATGTACCTGGCTCCGCCCAGCATAATCATCAAGAGTTGCTCAGGTATCCAGACTACACTACTGGAATCCAACGCGGACGGCAAAGACCTTTGCCGTCCGTCAGCTGACGGCAACAGGTCCGGCTTAATGGGCTACGGCAAAGGCTTCTTTGCCGTTAGCTGGCGGACGCCAAAGATGAAACGATCTTTGCCGTCAGCTGGCTGATGGCAATGGTCCTGGACGGCACACATGACAATGTCCGACCATTAGGGGGCTAACGGCGAGGTTTGCCGTCAGCTGGCGGACGGCAAAGTAACCAAATAGGACAGCCCCAGGTTGAACAGGGAGCTGCCACGTGGCATCTTTGCCGTTCGTTGGCTGATGGCAAAATGCTTTGCCGTCCGCTGGCGGACGACAAAGATTCTGTATAGCTCTAGTTTTTTCTGTTTTTTCTTAAATTCATTCAATTTGAACACACAATGCAAGTTTCAACACACAAATTTCACAAAAGAAGTATCCAACTCACAAGTTTCATCATATATACACATACATAACCAACACGTACATAGTTCC